ACAACTTCCTCGAGATTTCCTGCGTACACTCGTTCCAGAATGGACACGAATCCTCGTCGTTTCCAATTGAGACCAGAACCGACGTCAGTAACGATCTCATGATCAGGAAATTTAGAAGTGAGGTATGCACGCTGCCTTTCAAGGTCATCTTTCTACTTTTCACTGGATACTCGTGCGTAACAAAGTTTTTTCTTTTGCGCACCCTCCTAGTTTAACATTCGTGACGAAATACAAACGTTTTCAACCCGGCATGGTGACGCTCGAAACATCTTCACGTTCGCTCCATCTACAAGGAGTGCTCGTACGAAAATGTACATAAAGCGTAAATGCTACGAAATGAAATGAAATGATGAATACAGACATAATTTTACGTATCATGTAAAACTCACCATGCAAACATTACGTATTTCAAAAAATTTTATGAATATCTAGTTAGTATCATACCCGTTTTAACTTTGAAAGTAAATGTTGGATTTTTGTTCACCTGTTCAGTAAGAATCCTATAACGAACTCACTTTATACCAGCATTTTGGTATAGCCAGAGTCGACTGTATTTTCACTGATTTACCGAAAAAACCTCAGAGGGAAAAATCATGTCAGTTAATGCACTGTCAAACTTTTGTACTCTTCCCTCGGAAAAGCCTCATTTGTTTTTCAATGCTGATCCGGAAGCACGTTCTGAAGCCTTGAAAGCGACAAAACATTTGTATGAACTAGGAGGTACCTTGTCAATCTGTCCAAAATTCTTGGATATTTCGAAAAAATGAAGTAAAAGAATTTTACGACAATGCTAATAAATATAGTTCAACCTTGATTTTATACAGGCAAACTTTCAATAATCGATTCTGTCCAAAATTTTCCATCATTTGATATCTTATTACTGGATGGATTCGACAACGAGCAAATATGGCAACAGATTAATATGAAAAATCGGCCCTTTTTTGAACTTTTTGACAAAAAATTTGGCGAGTTGCGTAATATGATCGTGGAATCCGGTCAAAGTGTAAATGAAAAGTTTGTGAATTTGCATAAAGAAGATAGTGATAATAAGAATAATAGTAAGAAACGAAAAAGAAAAGAACAATTTGATAGTGATGAAGATGAGGATGAGGATGATGATGAGGATGAGGATGAGAAAAGTGTGCAATTTCTGGAAATGAAAGAAGAAAAAGATGAAGAACAAGATGATGATAATGATGATGATGATGATGATGATGATGATGATGATGATGATGATGATAATGATAATGATGATGATGATGATGATGATAATGACGAATATAAAGATGATGAACAAGAGGCAGAGGATGATGAA